GCTCACCCTGTGACTTGCATGGGTGTCCTGGCTGGTCCACCAGGCTTCCTCTTGCCCTGCCCAAGCCCATGTCTGCTCTGCAACTTCAATAATCTTTCTGGAGGCTAATCGCATGCAGCCCCTCTCTGCACCCTCCGCCTTCTCTCCTTCCACTCTGTTGGAAACTTTGAGATTTAATCCTTGCTTTGTCCAATCAGATCCACTGATCCTATTCACCATCACCCCGCCCCCACTATCTGCACCTCCAGCCCCAAGGAACGTTTGCCAGTTGTTTGAAGGCACCACCAGCTCTCCAGCCTGCAGACTCCTGGACGTCCTGTTCTTTTGTTGCCTGAAATGTTCTTACCAGCAGTGCCTGCCTAACTAGCCCTTCCTCACTCCTGGGTCTTCACTCACTGTCACTCCCTGGAGGAGGCTACAAACCTCCCTGATGCTCTTAGAACAGGGTTGCCCATCCCCTCTCAGTTCTTCCTGCTGCCCGGAACTTTCTGTCATACTTGATTGTAAAGAGTGGGTTTATCTGTCATCTCTAGTTAGATCTGCGAGGACAAGGGACAGTGAAATTCCATCTGGGGCCGTCAGAGACTTGCTTGGACAAATGGCCCTATTCCTGAAATTTAAAAACAACGGGCTGGGTGCAGTGGCTCACACTTGTAATCCTAGCACTTGGTGAAGCAGAGGCAGGAGGATTGCTTGAGGTCAGGAATTCAAGACCAGACTGAGCCTGATCCTTTCTCTACCAGAAATAGAAAAAATTAGCTGGGCATTGTGGCATGCAGCTGTAGTCCCAGCTACTCAGGAGGCTGAGGCAGGAGGATCGCTTGAGCCCAGGAGTCTGAGGTTGCTGAGCTATAATGACACCACTGTGCTCTAGCTGAGTAACAGAGCAAGACACTGTGTCTAAGCAAAAACAACAACAACAACAAAATACAATATCTTCTTTTATTGATCGGGGCTGTTCTGCCCAAACATCACCCCATTTTATCTTCTGAACAATCCCACAAGAAAGCAGTGTTATGTCCATTTTAGACATGAAAAACTGAGGCTTGGAGAGCTTTAGGAACTTGCCCCCAAGATCACATGAAGCCAGTGATTTTCAACCGGTATACCAAGGCACACTGGTGTGCAGCAAGAGGATCTTAGGTATCCTGTGAATTTTTTAAAGATAATTAGTTAAATTATTTTCAATAGAAGTTCAAAGCACAGTTAGTATATTCTTTTTTTTAATTGATCAACACAATTTAAGTGTGCCATGGACGTTTAACTATAGGTTCAAGTGTGCCATGAGACAAAAAAGGTTGAAAACACTGCAACAAGCCAGTGAAAAGCCGTGACAGGGACACAAGCCATGCCTGGAGGTCTTGGAACCCAGCACCCATTTGAGAAGGATCCATGCAGTGAATGATTCCCTGGCTGTTTTGTTTGAAATCAAGCCACTTTTTTTTTACATGACAAAATGGGACCAGAGAAACATTACATTTGGAGTTGCTCTGGTGTGTTGTCTTTTTCTAATAGACAAAAAGATAAATAACTACGTTTTTAAAATAAAAATTTATCTATGTGCTATGAAAAATGGCACACGGTGAGCCCTTCAGAAGAAATGGGAATCCTGGGATGTTCCATGTCTGGGTTTGATGGGGGAGCCCATCCCCCAAGGCTCCCTAGGGTCTAGCAAGCAGGAGAATGGATGTCTCACGTCCTCTCTCTGTGGTGCCAGGGCCAGCATACATGCTTAGTCAATGCCTGGAAAGGTCCCCATTCGGGCCAGCTTTCATCTTTTCCTGCCCAGAATATGGGACCTGACAAACTCGTCCTATAAAAAGTGCCACATACCTCTTTGCCAAATATCAGTATTCCCTTGAAGGGAAGCCTTCAAGGCACTCCCCTTGGGAAGCTATGCACTGATGCCAGTGCCTAGTCCATCCTTCAAAGCAATTTTTAAACTCTTTCTGGAACGGCCATCAGAGCTGTTTTTAGACATACACTGACAATTAATTTCACAAACTTATCTTAGAAAAAGTACTTTGAGGGGTGGACTAGGCACTGGTGTCAGTGCTTCCCAAGGGGAGTACTTGGAAGGTGACTGTAGTGAGAGTTAGCAGTGAGGTGTGTAGCACTTTTTCTACTGTGAATTCACAAACTTAATTATGCAACTTTTTAAGCTGGAAGAAAGGTACGAACTCCCAAGCAAAGGATGAGGCCCCCTCTCTCAGTGTACCTCCTGAGGGGGAGCTGGGACAGCCTGTACTGCAGCTGCCCCCCACTACCCCTGCCCCCAGCTCTGGCCTGGCTCCCACCTCTGCCTCCTCTGATGGAGGCCAGACGCAGGAGAAGGAGGGAGCCCCATCCCAGGCCAAGAGGCTGTCCCAATATGTTTACATTTCCAGGAGGATGAAAAGCAGAGACACAAGGACACCTCTGGGGGTAGTGGCAGAAGAGACAGAAAGGAGTCAGGAGGAGGTTGTCCAGGCACCAGGCATCTCAACTGAGCCACTGGGGCTAAGGGGAAATTCCAGAGGAGGCTGTTGCCAAAGCTTCAGAGGGCCAGGCCAGCTTGGGACAGCCAGAACCAGAGCTGTGGCTATTTAGGAAGAGACAGAAGAAGAAAGATCCTGGCACTTAAAGGCCAGGAGGAAGAAGAGAGGACAAAGAAATAGCAACCAAGGAGGAGGAAAGGAAACAAGGATGGTGGCTGCAAAGGGGAGATTCAAGAAGAAGGCAGGCTGTGGAAAATGGGATGGGGATGGCAGGTCTTCAAAAAGTTAAACATAGAGGCTTGGCGCCTGTGGCTCAAGTGGCTAAGGCACCAGCCACATACACCTGAGCTGGTGGGTTCGAATCCAGCCCAGGGCCACCAAACAAGGACAGCTGCAACCAAAAAATAGCTGGGCGTTGTGGTGGGCACCTGTAGTCCCCGCTACTTAGGAGGTGGAGGCAGGAGAATCACTTGAGCCCAGGAGTTGGAGGTTGCTGTGAGCTGTGATGCCATGGCACTCTACCCAGGGGGACAGCTTGAGGCTCCGTCTCAAAAAAAAAAAAAAAAAAAAAGTTAAACAGAATCATCCCACAATCTAGTAATTTCTCTTCTGGGTATATTCCCTAAAGAATTGAAACCAGGGGCTCACAGTTATGTGCACACCCTGTTTACAGCAGCATAACTCATAATAGCCAAAAGGCAGAACAGATGAACATACAAAATATGATCCATCCATAAAAGGGAGTATTATCCAGCCTTGTAAAGGGAGGTGATTCTAACACCTGCTACCGCATGGATGAACCTTGGGGACACCACACTCAGCGAAATGAGCAGACACAAAGGACACCTCCAGTGAGATCCCACTCACTGGGAGTCCCCAGAGCCATCAGATCCACAGAGACAGAAGGAGAAGGTGGGTGTGGGAGCAGGGTGGGGTGTGGAGTTAGTGTCTCATGTGGACAGAGTGTCAGTTGCAGATGATGAGGTTTTGGAGACGGAGTGTGGTGATGGTGGCACAGCACTGTGAGAGTGCTTAATGCCACTAAGCTGTGCACTTAAGAATAGTTATAATGGTAAATTTTATGTTATATAAATTTTATCCCAATATAAAGAAGAAAGGAGGGACCAAATCTGTAGAAACATCAATGTGGATGAGATCAAAGAAAAGGCCCTGTGGTGCCCTGTTTCCTGCAGCCAACCAAGGTGTCCAGCTCAGTGGGCCCCTCTGTGGGACAGCACTGCCCCCGGGTGGAGATGCCCCAGGTTTGAGGCTAACATGCACAGTTGGGTGGCTCAGGGTGACCGTCTGTGGGTGCTCTGTTAAGCTGCTGGTGCATCACTGTGCACGTGTCTGTGCGTCTTCACTGTCTGACGGTGCGTGTCACTGCCTCCGGGCGTGAGGGCTGACCTCAGAGTGTGTCACACTTAGCCAGGAGCCTGGGCTGTGGCCTTTCAGGGAGGGGAAGGCCCTGACAGGCACTAAAAGCTCTGCTGTCCCCCACTCTGCTTGCAGCACAGTAGGGGCCGCAGGAGCAGCGAGCAGAGTATGGCAGGTGCAGCAGCCCACACGGCATCATCTGAAATTCAGACACTTTGCCCACCTTGGATCTCTTGGCATGACTTTCAAGTTTTGAAAAGTCTGCACTGGAATATTACTTATCTTGATGACGGACAGGGGTGTTTAGCATCACTTACTTTTCATAAGTGAGGCAAGTGCCTCTCCTCAGACTTGGGAGGAAGGCTTGAGGGTCCAGGAACCCTGGGGTGCCTGAAACTCTAAGCAACCCCGATGAGCCCTGGGGCTGCCTGAAATGTCACTATTCTCTCGTGGAGGGTAACTTACCTCTATGAGGCACTTTTACAAATTATGTTCACAGATGTAATCTTTTATGAGACTTAAAACAAGCTAGTGAGAGGGAGGGGCAGAGGTGATTATGCTCATTTCCTAAGACAATTACATGGAAACTCAGGGGAAGCAGGAGACTAGGAATCGGTCTGGAGCCCAAATTTCTGGTCTCTTTTTTGGAGGATGAGGTCTTGAGGGTTCTGGTTTCACAGAGGGCTGGGAGAACTTACCCCCCCATTCCACCCTACTTACTCTGAAAAGGGCACTGTGCCCAAGTTGGCTGGGCAGGAGAAGACAGAACCTGGGCATTGGGTCTCATGTCCAGGAGATCCCAGGTTCCACTGCTCCCTTAGTTAAAAACTACTTGGCTTGGCGCCTGTGGCTCAAGCGGCTAAGGCGCCAGCCACATACACCTAAGGTGGCAGGTTCGAATCCCCAGCCCGGGCCTGCCAAACAACAATGATGGCTGCAACCAAAATATGGCCGGGCGTTGTGGCAGGCGCCTGTAGTCCCAGCTACTTGGGAGGCTGAGGCAGGAGACTCGCTTGAGCCCAGGAGTTGGAGGTTGCTGTGAGCTGTGAAGCCATGGCACTCTACCCAGGGGGATAGCTTGAGGCTCCGTCTTAAAAAAAAAAGACTTCTTCTCTCTCACCTACCCTTTGGCATACAGGAAGATGGTGTTCCAAGGCAGCTCACTGAGAGCGAGGAGGACCTCAGCCTGGATTTGGGGGCCCTTCAGGGCAGCGAGTATCTCCAGGACCTGGGCCTTGGGGCCCCTTCCCATAGTCAACTTGGGGAGTCCAAGGACAGAAGTCCCCCTAGCAAAGAAGCTGGAAAGGACTCACCCTTCTCCAGCCCCGCAGGGTCCCAGAGCCCGCCACAGCAGCGCAGCTGGGAGAGGTCACGGAGCTGCTCAGAAAGCTGGAGTAGGTCAGTCCCCCATGACAGCTATGCTATATCTTTGGGACAGGGCAGTGCTCCAGGAAGCCAGAGCCAGGCCCCCCGACAGGTTGCCTGCTGCACCTGCATGGTTTAGCTCTAGGGACAGCCCAAAGGCTGTCTGTCTTCCAATGTGCACATACACACACAAACACCCAGTGGGTGCATAGACCTATGTGGACACTCACTGGGCCTGCATGGTCATACCCAAACTGAAGACGGGACATGCACACTGCAGGCACACACGAACCCAAACATGCACGCTCAACCCACAGACTTGCATACCTCATCCTATCAGACCCACGCATGTAAGCCTAAACATGTGATTCACACACTGTTTGCGCACATACACACAACCCCACCCATGATGAAAACAGAGGTGCGTGTTCTGCTCCATGCCCCCCACAGTGGCAGCATCACACAGCAAAGGGGATACTTTAGCCACTCCTAGTCCCTCAGCCCCTCCAAAGTCACCCCAAACAGTAATCCAAGCTGTGCAAAAATGGTCTGAAATGTAATTGTAGCTTCAACAGATCTAGCCAGGCTTCCCTTTTCCCTTCCCCACTACTGCTGATCCCTCTGATGTTGGGAGGTCTAGACCCCTCTCTGTGACCTGGAAACCCCTCCTTTGTCTTAGAAGGCCCCCCTGCAGGTTCCCTCAAGCCCTGATGCGTGGGCTGCCAGCCAAGTGGACAAGACCCTGTGAAATCCTAAAACCTTCTCCTCCCACCAGGTTCAGCCTCGATGCTTCAGCTATGGATGAGGGACCCTGTCTCCCTCGGGCACTGGCTAGTCTTGCTCTAAACCTGCCAGGAGAAGGGCTGAAGACTTGGACACAAGGGGATCTGCCTGGGGACAGGATCCCAGCAGAGCACCCAGGCAAGGTGAGTGTAACCTGCAGCCACCCCTGACAACAGTACATCTCTGGGGCCAGAAGCCAGCACTGTGAGTAGGAAGGAGACCCTTACCCAGAGTTGGGCACAGCTTATCTGTGGTGTAACCCATGGCTGGGACGTCTCTGAGACCTGAGATTCCAGTCCATGCCTGAAGGGTTGTCCCTGTGGCAGGAATCTGGTGGTAGGCAATCCTGGGCCATGACTGCAACCCGTGGGCTGGTGGGGAGAGGGATGCGTCCTCAATCTGCAACTCCAGCCAGCTGTGGAGGATCTTTGCCGGAATGTATCCTGAAGCAGGAAAGAAGCTATGTCTATGCGTGGGGTCTGCAGCTGGGAGGTTTTTTCTCAGACCTGAGATTCCAGTATGCAGTTCTTGGGGCTGTGGCCCATGGCTGGGACACCTTTGGCCATGACCACAAATGACTCTCAGAGGGAGATTCTTGTTGGTGACTAGAGCCCCCACCTGGAGCTGCAGCTCACCAGTTGGGGGCCACTTGGCCAGGACTTCAGCTTGCGGCTGGTGGGGCCCCTGACTGTGGCTGGAAGCTGGGGGGTTGGGAGCATGCCTCGGTTCCATGGATGAGGCTATGACCATGGCTGGGGATTCTCAACCTGGAGCCTCAGGCTGCCTTTCCAATTTAGCAAGATGCTTATTCCTGCAGGAATGTGGCAGCTCTGAAAAAAGAGTGAGGTCACAGTCAGTTCCTGTGTCCTTTCATGAGGTCAGCTCCCTGGAAATCTCTCCGGGTTTGGAAGTGCCCATTCCACCTGCCCAAGGTAGCCCAGCCTGAGAGTTTCCCTCATTCATACCAAATTGGGGTTCCCAGGGAAGGGAAGGGTGCTGATGGAAGGGTGGGGTTCCCAGGGAAGGGTTAGGCTCCTCTGGGAAAGGAACTAGGCAGAATACTGGGGGCTCCAAGGGACCTGGAGAGGGAAAGGACCTTCAGCCCCTGCCTTTCTCCCTCTCCCTCAGGCCTTCAGCCAGAGTGAGCAGCCCCATTGCAATGACCTTGCCCCCGGGGTGTTTGCTCTCTTTCTGTCTCTCCCTCTCTTTCTTTATCTCTTTGTCTCTGAATCTCTAACCTAAGATCTTGAATCTCTTTGGTGTCAATCCAACCTGAAGTCTAAACCTATAGCAAGTCTCTAAGCCTCTGTGGGTCCCTCTATGAGAGGAGCAAAAGAAGCCCAGGGCAGGCTCTGTGGCTCTTACCTGCAATCTAACACACTGGGAGGCTGAGGTGGGTGGAGTTCGAGGTGGGTGGCCTTGCTTGAAGCCAGGAGTTCGAGACTAGCCTGAGCAAGAGTGAGACCACATCTCTACAAAATATAGAGAAATCAACCAGGCGTGGTGGTGCACACCTGTAGTCCCCTCTACTAGGCAGGCTCAGGTAAGAGGATCACTTGAGCCAAGGAGTTTGAGATTGCTATGAGCTGTGATGACACCACTGCACTCCAGCCTGGGTGACAGAGTAAGATTCTATCTCAAAAAAATATATAAAAGAAAAGAAAGGAATAATCTCCCCAATGTGCTTAGTAGGTCATGAACATTCATGAGACACTGAGTCACCTCTATCCCTGGCTCTCTGTCCTTTTCCCATGCCTCCTCCCTGAGAGAGTACAAGCCCATCTGGATGGTCTCCGGTTTTGCAGGGGAATAGGATCAGGTCCAGGAGGGACGGTTCTGCCCCAGAGCCTCTCACATCTGTGCTTTCTTGGGGGGTGGCTGTTTCCAGGCCTAGAACCCCCAGTGCTGGAACACATGGAACAGGACCATGTGGAACCAGATCATGTGTGAGTATTTGCCCTACAGTGGGGAGGTACTCCCACACCACCTCGACTAGCCAGGAAGTGGAGGCTGGGGGAGGAAAGGTGCAGGGGTGTGACATTGCTGCAGCTAGCCACCCTCCCACTGGGTCATCTGAAAACTCATCTCCTCTCTCACACCCTCTTCTGCCCGGAAGAGGTTCTCAAGGTAGCTTCAGGAGACAGGTTGGGGGGGCTCCCAGTCAGGGCTGGGCAATCCCAGCTCACCTTGGGAAAATCATACCTGTATCCTGGGGCAACTATGGGCTGTTTTGATCCCCTCCACCCCACCCCAGACTGATCGTCCAACAAGTGCTTCAAGAACTTCGGCAGTACCATGGGTAAGTTGGAAGGGAAACAGGTAGGGGAGACAGGTGCCAAGAAAACGGAGGAAACGGAAGGAAAGAGAGGACGGGGAAGGGGGCAAGCTGCCACTAGCCCAAGGAATACCTTGGAGCAAATGAGAAAAGGTACCTCTTTTCTGAGATGCTGCCATCTGTTAGAATATCTTCTGAGATGCTGATTTTTGTAGGGCCAGGACACATTACTGCCCTCTGCTGGAAAACCTGGTCATAATGTCCCCCATACACAAGCCCACAATGTCAAAGACAGGTGGGCGCTTAGCACTGGCTCTGGGTGCACACCTGTATACTGAAACCTGGGCAGGGGGTGGAGAGGGGAAAGAGAGGGGTGAGATGGGGTGGGAGAGGAGACTGCCGACCCAGGTATCTGTCCGTCTGATCCTGCAGGGCCCGGCAGAGGGCTTGCATGTCAGCCAGCCCCGGAGGAGCCCACTCTAACCTAACCTGGTTTGAGTTCCTGTCCGAGTAAGTACACAGAGCTGCCACAGGCAGGAGCTGTGGGTAGAGGTGGCACCAGATTTGAGCAAGTGTGTATGGATGGTCCTCTCTGCTCAGACCCCACACCAGGGGCAGGAGCTGGGGCCCCCATCAGGACAATGTGGGGGCTGGTGGGGCTCCCATACACCCTGGGAGGAGAGTGGAGGGCTTCCTGGAGGAAGTGACAGTTTGAGCAAGGTTCTGACAGAAGAGCAGGAGTTTGCTTCTATGTGCAGATGACAATGAAGGAAATAAAACAGAACTACCCGGCTTAGGTAGTTGTATGAGGGTGGGGCTGAAAGAAGGGCAGGTGGGAGAAGCTGGCAGAGGCCAGACCACCTTGCCTAAGAAGCTTGGATTTTATCCTAAAGAACAGGGTTGGGGGGTTAGGCATCATCAGTTCTGGTGACCACAGGCAGGGCTGGGGTCCCTGACTCCCTCTCTCAGTCACTCATTCATTCAACAAACATTTATGAATATTTGCAAAGCTCAGAAGCCTCAGGAACTGGAGAAATGGAATCTCCCTCCAGGGAATAGATTCTGCCAGGGCAGGAACCATGTCTGGCTTATTGGTCACTGACTTAATAGATATTTATTAAGTACAAGTGTCCCAGCAGTGCAGTGCAGGTATGGCGCTGATCTGGCAGAAGAATGAACATGCTTCAAAGGCAAATTAGATACGGAATGAGGGTGGGTAGGGTGTGAATGAGAAGTGAACAGGGGCCAGATGTGGTGGCTCACACTGGTAATCCCAGCACTTTTTCTTTTTTAAAAAACATTGTCACTTGGTCACCCTGGGTAGAGTGCTGTGGCATTATCATAGCTCACGGCAACCTCAAACTCTTGGGTTCCAGTGACCTCTTGCCTCAGTCTCCAGAGTAGCTTGGGAAGACTACAGGCACCTGACACAACACCCAGCTAGTTTTTCTATTTTTAGTAGAGATAGGGTCTTACTCTTTGCTCAGCTGCTTTCAAACTCCTGAGCTCAAGCAATCTACCCACCTCAGCCTCCCTGTAATCCCTGAGAGGCTGAGGCAGGAAGATGGCTTGAAGCTAAGACTTAGAGACCAGCCTGGGCAACATAGCCAGACCCCATCTCTTTAAAAAATACAAAAAATTAGCCAGCCATGTGTAGTCCCAGCTACTGGGAAGGCTGAGGCAAGAGGATGACTTGAGCCAGTTTGAGATTGCCGTGAGGCATAAACATGCCACTGCACTCTAGCTAGGGAGATAGAGCAAGACTGTCTCAAGGCAAAGAAAGAAAAAGAGGAAGAAAAAGTGAGTGAGCAGACTGAGGCCTCCAGCTCAAACCTGCAGAGGGACCCCAAACTTTGAGATCATGTTGCACTCTCCTCTCTGTGAACCCTGTCCCAGCGGTTCCTAGGAAGGAGGCCATGGGGAGACAGGTTCCAGGTAGATTCTGGGAGTGGCCTGCAAAGTTGCCTCAGAATAGCCTGTGGCCCCCTCTGATGGACCTTTCCTCCTGCCCCCCCAGGAGCGAGGACAGTGCTGGCAAGAATGAGAAGAGTGAGAAGAGCACTAGGGTGAAGCGTAGGCTGAGCTGCCTCCGAAGTCGTGTCACCAGGCAGAAGGAGAAGGTGGGCTGAGGGCTGGGCCAGGGGAGCCCCCCCTTTCTTCCTGGCTTGGCAGGGTGCCTTTGACCCACAAGCCCTATGATTTGAAGGTGGGATAAGGGGCTGGATGCATAGGGCATAAGAGGACCAGACCCTGCAGAGGCCATCCTTAGACCCACCTCCTTCCTAAACAGGTGAAGAGCCCAGCACATCTAAAGGAAAAGAGTCAGAACACTCGAGAGAAGCGGGAGTGTGTCAATGGGCACCAGCTGGCACAAGGGACCTTCTTCAGCCACACTAGCTGCCCCCTGTGTGGCAAACCCTTCTTGAGTTCTGGTAAGTCCAGTGGCCCCATCCATCCCCCTGATGGCAGCCACTCTCTCTTCTTCACTTCCTCTCAGTCATGTCCACAATCTCGTTTGCTCTATGCATTTTCTTTCCATTTCATCCCTGCCACACATGGGCAGACTTCAGCAGCTCCACCCAGGCGGTTGGTCCCTGAGGGCAGGCATCCTTTGGTTAACTCGGAACTGGCAAAATTCCCCTTAATCCTCAGCTTTTGCCATTGTAAGAATCACCCTGCAAAACTTGGACTCGGGCTGTGTAAGGGTTTGCTATAGCTGTTGTGACAAAATATCGTATGCCTCATGGCTTGAACAGCAGGATTTATTACTTGGCATTTCTAGAGTCTGACAGTTAGAGCAAGGTGTCAGCAGGGCTGGGTTCCGTGTGATGCCACCAGGGAAAAATCCATTTCAGGCTCTTCCTGGCTTCTGATAGTATGTTGGCCAGTGACCAAATGACTCCAGTCTTGACACAGATTCTCCCCATGTGCCTGTCCCTGTGTTCATTTGCCCTTTGTACAAGGACACTTTAGTATTGGATTAGGGCCCCCCACTCCAATGTGACCTCACCTTAGTAAATTACATCTGCAGTGACCTGAATTCCAAATAATGTCACATTCTGAAGTACTGGGGGGAGTAGGAATTTTATGTATAAATCTGGTGGCCAGGGGTACAATTCAACCCATAACAGGTGGTTTTCTGCCTCCCGGGGCTCTTGGCAGTTGCAGGGTGGGGATGGCAGCTGTCTCTGCTTGGGAAAGAGTCCTTGATTCAAGAACTCCCAGATGGAGATGTCTCTGGTCATTGCTGGTACTTAGAACTTTGTCTTTTTTAAAACAAGCTCCACTTTGAAGGAAACAAACAGGAGGCAGTGACAATTACATGTTAGGAAAGATGAATGTGCAGTTTATAGCGGGAATCCAAACTGCTGACTGTGGCAGGCAAGATTCAGGCTATTTCAAGTGTTCTGGCCTTCAGCACTGCTCACATCCGGGGCCAGTCAATTTCTGTAGTAGTAAGGGCGCTGTCTTGTGCATTTAGGTTGGCTAGTATCATCCTTGGCTCTCACCTATTAGATGCCGGTAGCAACCTCCCTTCCCTCCTCCGGTTGTGGCAACGAAAAATATCTCTGGACATAAGTAAAATGCCCCTAGTTGTGGGGTGGCAAAATTGCCCTGGATAAGAATCAGTGGGCTAATGAGATAACAAACAGACCTTAGCAGGAGCCTAGACCACGCAGTAAGGACAACATCACATTCAGAACAGGGGCCTCCAAGTGACCTGAGCCACAGGTTTCGCATTTCTTGGCTTTACCTGCTCCAGATGTGGGTATTTTCCTTCTTTCTCATTCATCCCTCTTTCTGGAGCACTGTTTTGCCAGCTGTAGGACCAGGGATGTCCCACTGTTCTTTGTGCTTTCCTTCCCTTGGGCATTCCCCAGCTAGCTTTAGGACACCAGAGCTGTCTCCTGCAAAGGATGGAGCATGGGCTCTGCAAAGTCCTCAGTGCAATTCCAACATCAGCATTTTGAAGTTCTTAATTTTAAGCAGAAAAGTGGCCGCCTATTTCTCCTGGCATCCTGTTCTCTTCTGCAGGGGCCAAGGTTTCCTGGATCTATCTTAAGTATCTGATTCAATCGGCAGGTGGGAGGTTGGAAGAAGTGGAAAGCCAAAGATTCAGAAACCAAATCTGTACGCAGAGCTGATGCCAGAACGAGAATGAGTTACTGTTCTCTCTTAGAAGACTAATGATACATATACAACTCTATATTCTTCTAGTTTGTTATGTGCTTTAAATTTTGTTCAATTTATTTTTTTGGAGATGGGGTCTTGCTCTGCTGTCCAGGCCAGAGTGCAGTGGTGTGATCATAGCTCACTGCAGTCCTTAATCCCTGGGTTGAAGTGATCCTCCTGCTCTAGCCTCCCAAGTAGCTGGGACTATAGGCTCTCACCATCATGCCTGGCTATTTTTGTGTGTTCGTGTGAAAATGGGGTCTCACTGTGTTGCTCAGGCCTGTCTTGAACAACTGGCCTCAAGCAATCCTCCTGCCTCAGCCTCCTGAAATGCTGAAATCACAGGTATAAGCCCCTGCACCCAGATGACACTACATTATCTTTAATTATCTGTCTCCCCAGTCTCTCTGATCTGTGAGGGTTTCTCCATCTTTCCCTATTGTTCATGACTTTGCCAGGCTTGAAAAGTGCTAGCTGGGTATCTGGTACCATGTCCCCCAGTCTGGGTTTGTATAATTAGAAAAGATTATGGGTTTCTGGAGCCTTCTCGTCTCATCTTATCAAGGGGACATGCTATCCACACAACATCCCTAGCAATGTTAATCTTAATCACCCGGTTAATGTGATATCTGCTAACCTAATATTTTTCCCTTTTCCTATTCTTTCGATAAAGTGAGTCACATAGAGACTTTCAGAGTGGTGGAAATTAAGCTCTTCCTCCTGGAGAAATAATTTGATTTTCAGAACAGCCCTCTGAGATCAAGGAAGATTTGAGTTTGTATAAAAGAAATGACGTGTTAGGCTGGGTGCGGCTGGTCATACCTATAATCCTAGCACTCTGGAAGGCCAAGCTGCAAGGATTGCTTAAGGCCAAGAGTTCGAGACCAGCCTGAGCAAGAGATAGATCCCCATCACTACAAAATATAGAAAAATTAGCCAGGGATCATGGCAGGTGCCTGTAGTCCTAGCTACTCAGGAGGCTGAAATAGGAAAATCACTTGAGCCCAGGAGGTTGAGGTTGCTGTAAGGTATGATGATGCCATTGCACGCTAGCCTGGCCACCGAATGAGACCCTGTCTCAAAAAAAGAAAGAAAAGAAAAGAAAAGAAAAGAAAGAAAAAAGAAAAGAAAAGAAAAGAAAAGAAAAGAAAAGAAAAGAAAAGAAAAGAAAAAGAAATGATGTGGGGAGCACTTAGCATGGTGTGTCCTGTGCTCTGACCATGGCCACCTCCACACCTGTGTTAGGCCTGAACACCTGTGTCTCATTCCGAACAGGCTGAGAATAGGCATTGCCCAGGCATAACCTCCCACAGACTTGTCACACTTTACTATCTGTCCTGTAAAGGAAACAATCTCACCGTAAATTAAACAGGACAGGGAATGATTCACATTCTAGGTAATTAGGGAAGGTGGGTCTCCGGGGTGAATCCAGGATGCTTTCTCAGAGACCAGCCCTATTGACCAAACACCATTCCAGACAGCCCTGTTCCAGGGCCCTGACCTTTGAGGCTGTACAGTCTGATCCTGTCTACCCTCCATGCTTCCTTCTCTCCCCCCTACTCAGCCACCTCAGACTCTATGGCGTGGCCACCCTGAAGCTTCATAACTGCCCATGACCCCACCTGTGTGTGGCTCATTCAATGCTGTTCCTGGAACTCCCACTGACACCTAACTCTTACTCACCTTCTAAGACAAAGCTCAGGCCCACTCTCCTCCAGCCCCAGGGAGCCTGAATTAGTCTGGATGAGTGTCTGAAGGTCTCCCAGGCCAGCTGCTGTCAGCTGAGGGCCATTTTGTTCCCACTCTACAGGACACTTGGCAATGTCTACAGGCATTTTTGTTTGTCAGGACCAGGGAACTACTGGCATCTCCTGGGTAGAGGATGGGGATGCTGTTCAATATTCTCCAGTGTGCAGGGCTTCCCCCACCTACATACCCCACCAGAGTATCATCCAGCCCCAATTGCGAGTAGTGCGGAGACTGAAAGACCCTGCCCTGGACCTAAGCTCCCTATGTCTCCTTGGCTCTTAGCATAGTCCTTGGTCCACGATAAGGACTCAGTAAACCCAGAATGTTTGGATAGATAAAAGAAAGACATGCTAGCTTGGCATATAGTCCCAGCTACTCAGGAGGCTGAGACAGAAGGATCACTTGAGCCCAAGAGTCTGAGGCTGCAGTGCATTATGATGATGCCACTACCCTCTAGCCCAGGTGAACAGAGCCAAGTTCTGTCTCAAAAAGAAAAAGGAAAAGGAAAAAGAAAGAAGGCAGGCAGGCAGGTGAGGGATCCTGTCCCTCAAGGCAGGTTCCTTGAGAAAGTTGGTTTTAATGTTTAGGAGAGAATGGTGCCAACCTAAAGATGGTTATAGACATGACACTCATGCTTCTCTTCCCACTTAAAAATCTCCAATACTGGCTCAGCGCCTGTGGCTCAAGCGGTTAAGGTGCCAAGCACATACAACTGAGCTGGCAGGTTCGAATCCAGCCCAAGCCCATCAAACAACAATGATGGCCGCAACAAAAAACAAGCCGGGTGTGTGGCAGGCACCTGTAGTCCCAGCTACTTGGGAGGCAGAGGCAGAAGAATCACTTGAGCCCAGGAGTTGGAGGTTGCTGTGAGCTGTGATGCCACTGTACTCTACCCAGGGCGACAGCTTGAGGCTCTGTCTCAACAACAACAAAAAAATCTTCAATGCTGGTGGGGCACAGTGGCTCACGCCTATAATCCCAGCACTCTGGAAGGCAGAGGAAGGAGGAATCCTTGAGTTCAGAAGTTTGAGACCTGCCTGAGCAAGAGCGAGACCCTGTCTCTAAAAAATAGCCGGGTGTTGTGGCAGGTGCCTGTAGTCCCAGCTACTCAGAAGGCTGAGGCAAGAGAATCACTTGGGCCCGAGTTTGAGGTTGCTGAGAGCTGTGAAATCATAGCACTCAACCCCAGGGTGATTGAGTGAGACTCTGTCTCAAAAACAAAAAACAAAAAAATTTCAATGCTTCCCCCATTGCCTTTGAAATAAAGTCCAAAGTTACAATAATTTAGAGAAGAAAACGTTTTTTCCTTGTTTTTTATTGTTGAGACAAGAGTTCTACCCTAAGCCCTGAGCAGAGTGCAATGGTGTTGTAGCTCACTGCAACCTCAGACTCAGGCTGTGGGCATCCTGCTGCATCAGCCTCCAAAGCCGCTAGGATTACTGGCACTTGTCATGGCACCCAGCTGGGTTTTTCCAATTTTTTCATAAGTTGGAGTCTCACTCTCGCTCAG